ACTTTGTGGCGAGTCAGTGGAAACTTCAGCTCAGCTGCTTTCTCTGAGAATATTACCAAGTATTCATGTATGATGGTCATTGTTAGGGACATTGGCCAAATAATGTAACGGTCACCACACAGTAATACGATCTTAATATGTTCATTCATGCTCTATGTTTCTCATATTTTTTACTGCTGTTTCTCTGAAGGAGAAAACTAAAATTACCATCAATGGTATTAGATGCAAAGTGTTTGATAGAAACTGGGTGTAGTTTGTGTTGTTGTTTTACAACATTAGCACCTGTTCTAGCTAATATTTTTATGAACATGCTAGATTATAAAGTTAAAAGTACGGTTATTCAAGGATTATGTTTTTTTGTGAGGTATGTTGACACTTGCTGAGTTTGTTTCTGGACAAATGCTTGAAGAGTTTTTAGTATTTTTAAACTCACTATACCCTAATATCAAATTTACTCATGAGAATGATAATGAAGGTGATTTATCTTTTCTCATGGTTAGTAAGGTAAATAATGCTTTGAAAACGAAGGTATTTAGAAAGGAAACTCATACTGATTTGTACTTGAACTGGTCGTCAGCTTATCAAAAATCTAAAAAAATAGGGATTATAAAAGCGTTATTAGCTATTGCAAAAACTAATTGCAGTTCAAAAGAAGAGCTGGATAAAGAAGTACATTATCTAAAAAATGTACTGGTGAAGAATAATGATTATCCTATTAGTGTGTTAAAAATACTTAAGAACTGGTGAGTTGATAGAAAAAAAAGAAACATAATTAAGATAATTCGGTTTACTGTGTAATTCCTTATGTACCTGGCCTAACAAATACGATAAAAATACTGTGGAAAGGAATAGAAAGGATATATATAAGCTTCCAGTTGTAGTGAAATTTGTATTCTTACCAGGAAAAAACATGAATATAATCTCTAAAAATAGAATTAAACCGACGACTATTGAAAAAGTAGTAGTTTACAGTGTAGAATGTACAGACTGTAATAATCTCTATATAGGAGAGATTGGTAGAAATTTAAGTACTAGAATAGCAGAACATGGACATGCTCCGTCACATGTATACCAACGTTTTAAAGACACGGAACGTTGTAATGAAAATAATATTATTAAAATTATTTGTCGAGAGCTTAATATTAATAAAAGTAAAATAAATGAAGCCATTTTAATAAAGGAACACAAACTTTTAATAAATAAAACACAAGGAGTAGGTTTATAGTTATGCTAGCTCAAGGTTATATTGTTGACGTCACCAGTTGGGCGTATTTAAGTGTCGTGTACAATTGTGCTGAACACCTGATTATACCAGGTTAACAGTTGCGAAACGTTGTTTTTAAATGATGTATTTTTTCTGTCCCATTTTAGCTGTTTTTGAATTTCAAAAGTGTGTAAATGAATTATTTTGTCAAGTTATATGAATATCTATCATAAAGTGAAATTAGTGAAACAGTAAATTTTAAATCATTGAACGATGTGACGGATTTATTATTATATTTTTATTTTAATATCGACGTTTGTCTAGATTAAATTTATATTTAGAAACATACATAGCTTATAGTATTAAATATGTAATGCGAAACTCCCGCCTATTTTCTAAAGTTGTAAATTTTCGAGTGTAAGAATCAACAATATGTGTGTGTACGTAAACGCTAGTATTAGTGTCAGTATTGTTACATAAAGCTGAAATTTTGAGAAAGCCTCCACATGCCTATAAATATAACCAACACAATGTTCCAAAAAAAGAGTATCTATTATTGGTTTGCTGTAAACTTCGGAAGCTATAACTGTGATTAACGCTTATTAATCGGAAAACTTCAGATATTTGACTAGGAGCATTTACAAAGTTCGGACATTACAAATTATTTAACTTTATTGGATTCTCATTGGACATCAGTAATATGATTAAATAATGCATTAGTGTTTTAATCCGATTATTAATATATTAATTATAGTCATGCTGAGACACATTGATACATGACGTGTGCATCATCGTCTCTGACGTTATGGCCGCCTGTCATGGCGGCCTAGCAAAACGTCCCTAAAACGCACTCTCTGGAGACACTGTGTGGAACTATGACGTCATTTTATCGTTGGAGTTAAACAGTTAAGCAAACGGTACAGATTACAAGAATTTTTTGAATGTTTTGTAAAGAATCAGAATGACAAGATCCGTTGCAAGGCAGCAACAGATAAAATATAGCTCTGAAATCCCTTACTACGTTCACATTCCAGTTTGAAATTCGTTAAAATAATCAAGTGTAACATTATGTTTCATCACAGTTACTATGGTTAAGAAATGAGCAAAACTACACCCAGTTTCTATCAAACACTTTGCATCTAATACCATTGATGGTAATTTTAGTTTTCTCCTTCAGAGAAACAGCAGTAAAAAATATGAGAAACATAGAGCATGAATGAACATATTAAGATCGTATTACTGTGTGGTGACCGGTACCTTATTTGGCCAATGTCCCTAACAATGATCATCATACATGAATACTTGGTAATATTTTCAGAGAAAGCAGCTGAGCTGAAGATTCCACTGACTGGCCACAAAGTAGTATCCTAGAAGAAGGCAGTTCAGCTCACGATGTTACTGAATCACTATCGGGTGATATTCTCGAACAAAATAGTTCAGCTTAAGTTTGCACTGAATCTCTATTGAGTGACACTGATGAAAATATCATATTTTTATAGTACTTATATCTTCAAAGTAAAAATATATAAATAAGTTCGTTGCTTTTAAAATATTTCGCTTGACTTCATCGGCCTTACCTTCATTATTAGTTACTTTATTATTTACAAAGCAGAATGTGATGTTTTATTGTTCCGAATCAAATCTTATTATTTTTCTATAAGCAAAGTACGTTTCGCTCAAACAACTTTTATTTTTTATTCTTTTATTAATCATTAGTCTTTCTGAAACGAATGCCACATTTAACCGTGCTACAACGGCTCTTTAAACTTCGCTTCACTTTGTCATAGCCAGTAGTTGTAGCATGAACTACTAGATATCACAGTTTCTGAAGAATCAAAGGTTGCCCGACTTGATGATGTACTTAGTTTAACGATGCGTTATAGGCTATCAGTTTTCAGACCATAACTTGCTCGTAAGCAGAACAAAGGATCGCTTATTAGTCGAACTTAAAAATGAAGAAAATAAAATAGTTGTGAGATCAACCAAATAAAATTTTCTTCTAATTTGAATTTTGGATGTTTGGGTGATTATAGTGGTAGATAAACATAAAAACTTAATAATCGTGCAATAAAATATGTTTTCAGCTTTGTTACATAAAATCGTGATATGACATTTAATTAATGAAAGAAAAATTTATAGTTGATTAATATTAACATAAAACATTGTACAGTTGAGGTAGTTAAAAATCAATGAACCTGTTAAATGTTAAAAAAATGTAAAAATAATTAACAAGTAATGTTTCTTTGGTGTTTTAAGCAGTGTATGTATTGCAGTTTTGAAATTGATAATGAACTGCTCCTGTTTTGTTTCTGGTCTCTATGTTGAAGACTTTTCAGGTCACTATTTTTTCGTTTTTGCGAAAAATGTGTTAAAGGATGAACCTGTTACTGAACTCTTAATTGAATGACGGTGAATCTTATCACCGAGTGTCCTACTTGCTAAGACTTTCATGCTCGTTAAGGTTTATTTTTTTTTGGGGGGGGGGGTAATTGATAGAAAGAGATTTTTCATTTAGCTACCAGTCTCAATATCAACTAATCACATTGCGACAGCTACCTTGACAAGGATTAAAATTCAGACCAGTGTCTTGTTTCTCATAGCAAAGCCACATCGAGCTATCTGCTGTGTCAACCGAGGGAAAACGAATCACTGATTTGAGCATTGCAAATCCGTAGTCTTACCACTGTTCCAGCGGGGGACAATTCAGATCAAAATATTTAACTAGAGTCTGAGTAATTAACTCTTTAAACTATAAAGTTAATTTTTTGGATACAGTGGAATGTTTGTTTAATAATATTGGCGTACTGTTATTACATATTCAGCGTGTTTGTGTGATTAAAAATGGATCATCCTCTAATTTCTATGATCTGGACAAGTGAATAGAAAAACAACGTAATGATAAAGTTCCTTAAAGCAAGTTTTAAAATAAAAATAGGTGGAAGAAATTAAACTGATCTTTCAGTCTGAACGGCATCTTCTGCACACGTGAACTAAATAGCCATCCATCATTTTGAAACTGACCAGAGGAAATGTAGTCATGTAGCAGCATTTGCCGCCATAAGAGCTCCGTTCGTTCCTTTGAACTAAACAACTGGATTAGTGGTTATTTTTATAACACGCGTGCAACTGAAATCGTGGAATTGTATTCAGCAGTACAACACCTCGAACTCCGGACAGCAGATGGAAAAGAGCGGTTTTTACTTGAGCCACCTTACCATGGAAAATATTTAAGCGTCAAATATTATTTACAATGGGATATTATAAACAATACTTTGACTCTAGAAAAGTAACCCAAGAAATTTAGTGTGCTCTCCTTCTTGCTTTTCCCATATCCAGCTTAGGGACCGTAACTTCGTCCTACTCGAGAAATAATGTATAAATAGTGCGCTACAAATTTAAGCTCAGTAGTAAAATATGTTTTTGTTAACCTTGTAAGTTAGTATAAAAGCTCAATTTAGGTTTCGGAAAAATACATGGGGACGTATTCAGTTAAAATGATGTTTATTTACTGTTATATTTTCCTGTTACATGTTAATGGATTAAATTACACGTTTAAATAAACATAATTTAAATCAACAGCCATACCCACTGATACAATTTGGATTACTTATAAAAATGAGACATGATGAATAGTTGGACTTGCATATATTTATGAATAGGAGCGATAAATAATATGAGAGATGAAAGACACAAAACCATCCACATTATTATTTAACAGCGGTATCTTAATGGATGTACTTGAATTTAGAATGATATACCATCGAAGGAAATGGACTGATGTTTAAAAATTACATGATTAGAAGAAAGTATGTTTTTATTAACAATGACATTGTAAAGTGCACAAGCAGTTGATGTCATAGATAACATTTCTAAATATAATTAGAATTGTCGAAAAACAAAATATACCTACACCCATTCACCCTTTAAGATAAGAAATAACGAATATATCCTTATTCAACAACAATAAGGAAGTTAATTGCCAAAGTTAGAAGGACGTTTCTTTCTAACTAAAGCCTACCACAATCTCATAGTATATGTTGCCATGTCGTTTTTCGATTTCTGGGGGAAATACTAAATTTCTTTTCAGGAAAATTCCGAACACATAATACTTCAACGAAAAGGAAAAATATCAAGTATTAAACCATGTAACTTTTATAAAGTACAGAAAAAGCAAAATACAACATTTTTCTTTCAAGGAAAGAAGAAGAAATCAAAGGTGGGTATCCCAACACGCTTTGTTGTAATAACTTATGAAGAATGTTTGCGCGGAATAAAACTTATGAGTGGAAAGTGCACGTTGAACTACAATTCATATGAATACATATGATATGGTTCCAAAGACTTGAATACCAATATAATTATTAAATTTTTGTGTATATATCATATTTTAATGAAAATAGTGAACTTTATTAGAAGTTAAATTTTTACGACAGTAACATTACAACCTTTCCGTGCTGTTTTTTTCACCTGACAATTTCTCCAACAAGAACTGTTCCTGGATACACTGACAACTTATCTAAATTAAAACTGTTGAAATTACTATATGTTGAAAACAATACCTTTACATTAGAAAAGTAGCTCGAGAAGTTATGTGTTCTTTTAGCTTCCCCAAATCCAGCGAAAACTACATACTTTTTATAATCCGAAAAGTGTCTTTCAAAAACAATCACGTTTGTGTCAATATAATGGAATATAAACGTTGACATTTGTTTTCCACTGGTGTAACTGTCGTGCGTATAAAACGCTTTCATCCATAAAGAGGGGGATCTTTGTTTGGCTGAGATTATATGACGTAACAAGGTAATGTTCACAGAACGTTTTGCTACGTTATTTACCAGATAATCAGGACGGATGGGTAACCATGGTAACGACTCGTTGCTAGTGAAGTTAGCTTCGAATGTTGGTTCCCACTGCATTGGACAAAGTTGTCCTTCACTGTATGTCTGTAAAATTATTAAAAGTGGAAGTTAGTGGTAAAAATACTACCGAAACTTACATTATAAGATTAACATTATGTACATTTTGTCTTTTTTTGTAGAATATCAGCTATAAAACCATTTTAATTTTGAGCTTATTACTCAATATATAAAAACCTATTTCATGTATTTGCATAAGTAGTAAAGTTTTAAGTATTCGATATAATTAGTAGTTTTTTTAATTAAGTGATGCTGATATATATATCAGGTATTTAATGATGCTTATAAGGAATGGAAAAACAAAATCTTATATTATTCTAAAAAAATAGCACTTCAAGAGAGAAGAAAGTAAAATGAGCGTCTGAAACATCATGTTTTAACTCTCGCGAAATATACGAGCTAGCTATGAATGGTTAATTTTAGAAGGTTTTATTAATTATTTTGTTTTCCTACGTAACTCAAATCGCGAATAATAAGTTTGAATCATAGAATTTTAATACAAGAATTTACAATAATGTAATAAGACATTATATATTTATTGCTCTGTATTCCCACATTTTCACGTAACAGAATTTACTGTTTGATCCTTCAGTGTTCTCAATAATATATATTCAACATGTTTTAAAGAAGCTCAAATTTTTCTTAACCGTCTAATTTTCCTTGAAATGTTCGATGTGACTGATATGTAAACATAAAATTTAAAGTTAGTATAAAATCAATATTTTGTTGACATCGAATCACGAAAAAAAAATGCACAAAAAAGAGAATAAATCTTAATACACGTTATTTTAAAATAAAATTCTAGGTAGCTAAAAGTAACATCAGGAATGTTTCTCACCTTCCCCGTGGTGATATCTATTGAGTCTTGGAGATTAATTTCGTCCCCATAAAACAATGAAATCGAGCCAGGCAACATAAGTAAAAACATCATGGCACCAAGAGTATAGTCTGTATCTAGCCTTGATGCTAATCGCGACGTTGCTACACTGCCAATATGCCAGTTCGTCCATGGTGATGTTGAAACATTACTCCATTCAGCTATATCAAGAAACTGAGTTTTGACAGTTGATACATGGTTCAAGGAGATATGCAACTGGACGTCTATAAGATCACACAGGTCAAATATTAAGCGAAAGGTCAATGACTGTTCATCTTTTAGTTTCTTCACAAAAATATCTGATATCATCATGATCTTTTTATTGTCATCAACACTATAAATATCCAATAAGTAACGCCACCTTCTCATCACCGAATATAGATCAGTTTGATTATCCCGACGAAGATTATTCAAGCCCTTCACGTAAAATCCATCTACGCCTTTTTGAAGCCAGAAATCTAGGACGTCTTCTATTTCTTTTTGTACTGCCGGGTGAGACCAGTTGAGGAAGAGTTGGCTGCCAAACGGACGACTGGGGTTTTCTTTCTCATCTTCTTCGAATTCGGAGAAGTTAGCCTGTATAAGTTTTTATGTTACTAAAACCTACAAAGGAAACTATTCAAATGAAAACAAACTGGTTATGTGCCACTTAATAAATCGCCTTTTTAGGGGAACTGAAAAGTAATTATAGATAAACTAATTTATTACAAAGTAGTGATACATAAGATAAATGTTTACCTAATTTTTTATTACTTATTTGGAGAAATGTCACATCAGAAACGTGCTCCAGACCATACTGTAATGCAAAACTTCTGTGTCTGAATACACCTGAATCATCGCAATATAAACTCTACAGAATACTCACCTTTTATCCTATACATTCTCTTTGAACTTGAAAATAGTAGAGTGTATTAATATAAATTCACGCATTATAAAAATTACATTTCAATTGTTTGTTTGTAGTTAAGCATAAAGGTACACAAAGGGCTATCTATGCTCTGGCCACCACGGGTATCGAAACGCGGTTTCTAGCGCTGTAAGTCTGCAGACATTCCGCTGTGCCACTGAAGGGCTACATTTAAATTAAATTCCTATTAAAATCATTATGCCCCTTCATAAACCAAAATTGGGAAGTTAAAAGATATATTTAACGGATTGTAGAAATCAAATGGCTTGGACCCAGTGTTGAGTGAATTAAGATATGTAATATTTACATATCATAAAAGTACTATGAAAATAGTGAATAGGGCGGCAAAAAGTACCAATCAATCTATGTCATTAACGTTAATTCCCCATAAAATCCTCTATTTAGTTAATTGGTTGCTTTAATAATAACAAACATTAAAAGAAAAATGAGATGATAAAGCGTTTAGAGGTATTCTAACTATTCAGAATTTGGAATCACATAATCATAAGAGTACTTTTAAACGAGATCAAAACATTTTTTTCATATCTCTGTATGGTCTTTACACATCTAATTTTATTCTATCGTATTTAAAAATAGAATTATTTACATATGTTTACAGCATTACTAAGCAACATTATTAAGCAGGTTTCATTTAGCGAAATTTAACATTACCTGTCAAATAGCCAAAAGATGAACCAAAAATATACACAAAGGTTAGAATGTCTGAGAGCAGTAATAATCAGACATACGTATTGTGACAGTTGAGTAATAATATTTGTCAATGTACTAAAATGATAATCTAGTAAGAGTCATGAAACTTTGAACTGATTGAGTGGCAATATTTGGGAAATATTGATGAGATTGATTAGTATTATATATCGCAAATACCTAAACAACTGAGATGTCATATTCGTTCAGTATTGAAATAGTTAAAGAGTAATATGTATAAATCTTTTCAGTGGCTGATCATTAATGTACGTCAAAATGTTGAAACATATGACTAATAATACCATTAGGACGTGTCACGGCCTGGTGTTTAGGACGCTCGATTCTCAATCTGAGGGTCGTGGGTTCGAATCCCCGTCACCGAACATGCTCGCCCTTTCAGATGTGGTGGCGTTATAATGTGATGGTCCATCCCAAGCCCAAACTAAATTAGGGACAGCTAGCACAGATAGCCCAAGCGTAGCTTTGCGCGATATTCAATTCAAATCAAACCAAACCAATAATACCATCAAGCACTGAAGCAATTGAGCAATAACATAATTCAATAGTGACATCAATGAACATTAATATTTACAAAAATGAAGCGATTGGGCAATAACATCTCTCCAATAGTGAAATAAATAAAGATATCGAAGTGATTTAGTAGTCAAACACTGAAATGATTCTCCAGTAATGCAGATGGCATTGAGAACGTGATATTGAAACGACTTTAGAGACTCATCTCATCGTTGTAGTCTATGTTGCTACGTTCGGTCATGCTCCATTTGACAAGTGTACCCATTGGAAATATCTCTATATTGTAGGTTTAATTTCAAAAGGCTCTGTTGTAACTGTCATCTCCGAAGCACACTAATCCTCCTGCATACTTTCCATATTGTACACGCTGTACGAGGGCAACCGTTTCTCATTTGCATGTTTCAACAATCCGATCGCTTCTTCCAGCGACTTGACCGTTATGTCTTCATGTGGAATAGCATGAACATTCGTTTCATTCTTTATCTGCTTGAAGTAGCGACGGCTGAACGGTAGTTATGATTGGAAGCAATATTTTGGTGAATTCATACACTGTTGCCTTTGTTTCCATACAAAGCCGTTACTTCTATATGGTACAAAAGGTCCAGAAAATTGATTTGGCAGTGAGAGAGTTCACCTTGACCTCTATACTCACTCTCTTGATTTCTAACCTGACCCTGGCGTAGAATCCAGTGTTAATCTTGAATTCCTTCGAAAAAGTTTCACAACATTCTGTGAACCATCCTTGTAACTTCTTTCAATTAGTTTACCGGTACAAAACGGTAGGAGACCTTGCAGGTATCAAGTTACTCATACGTTTCGTCAAATATTATCAAGTATTGCCAATTGCTCCCTTTATACACTTGGTTTTCCTTTCCTGAATAAGCTGTGTAAATAAGTTACATACACGCTTTTCCAGACCGGGATATTGCTTCATTATGTAGAGTACTGTTGACTGGGTCACTTGAACAGTTATGACTTGTTGAAGATATTTTTCTCAATAGTCCTCGGTCCTCAAGTTGATCAACATTCTTCTGTTTTCCAATACTTTTAAGTACAAAAAACATCGCCATCTTGGAAATTCTAAATCTCCACTCTGAATGTATCTTTATGATCTGATTGTATGAATACTGTGCGTCATAAAGGACTGTTACATACCCTTCCCAAAAGCAATCAATTTTTGGTAACATCATTCTACCTACGTGACACCAAACAATGACAAAATATAGTTTTGGTACACGTCATTCCACAGCGACTTTATATCGGCTGTAGTTGTCTCATGACCTGCTGATCTGCATATTTAAAATCGTTTTAATATACCGTTCTCAACCCCCTGTATTTGTTCAATATTGATACAATTAAGCATTAGTATCCGTCAAATACTGAACTTATTTAGCAAATCAAATGATTAAAAATGAGATATTAAAATACTTGTGTTTTGGAAACTAATAGAAGAAAAAGAAACAAACTAAATTAATTTGAAAAACATTAGAGGATGTCATAAGGTAGCAGAATGTATGAAATATTCAAACTTCTTATCATATTTGATCTTCGCTACAAAATCTAGTAAATATATCTAAACGGAATAAAGCACTGTTTTCTAGCCTTGCATGAAGGTTGTTTTATTAATGACTTGGGTAACTTGAAACTATCTCGAATCCATGAATTCATTTTGAAAAAAACTTGTTTACTTTAGTTATAACTTTGTACTTGTGCCAGGTGCGGCTATTTCACTTGCATCACGTGGATGGTGGGACGGCGTGAGTGCGCGCTTTATTTGCGACATTAAATAAGTAGAAAGGGAAAAAATTGAAATAGCTGTAAATAGAAATGAGCAAATGAATAAAATAAGGGGTTTTAGGGTTCATTTGGGGCTTACCCAAGAACTCCTGAAAGTTTCATGTTCATCATCGGTCTGAAAGCTGGAAAATTTTCGTTAAGGACAAACAAACATACATATAGACACAAGGTGTTTTATAGTATTGATTCCAAAGTTTAACATAGCATTAATACTGTGTTTGAGGTTGTTAAATCACCTGTGGAGTATTTTATCTCATTATATATATATATATTTCCAAATAACAGCTTATGTTTCAAATATTGAAAGGAAATAAATATTTGGAATCTAAGCTAGAACTGATTAGTGCTAACATACAGTGGAAGTGAATTTCATAAAAAAGGAATAAGAAGATGAAATAAGGAAACTAACTTATTGCTCTATTTATTTTTGAACAGTAAGTTCCAGTAAATAGTTGAACCTTAACTGATATTTCAAACTAAGATTCGAAGAAATTTAACACATTTGACAGGCTTTTCATCAAGCCCCCAGTGGCACAGCAGTATGTCTGCGGATTTACAGAGCTAGAAATCGGATTTCGATACCCGTGGTGGGCAGAGCACAGACAGCCCATTGTGTAAACTTCGTGCTTAACTTTAATCAAACAAACAAGCTTTCATCAAAAGTTTATTATTTTTTATCATTTTGGCTAGACCAACGTTTCACAACATTTTCGGTACAAGAGACCGGTTCGCTGCTTCCCGACACTATCGCGGACCACTAAAATTCAAGTACAACGAAAAACCATCACCATTTACACGTGAATATTCTGTCAGTTTTTATTTGTTTGTTTTCGTGAAATCCCACGAAGTGGCGATCTGTTGCCGGTGGTTGAGGAACGATGGATTAGACTATCTAATAATGAGAAATCACGGATCCATAAAGAATGAATTACGAGGAAACTGAAAATAATAATTAAATATTAGGTTAAGTAAGCTACACAGTAAGGGAATTAGTACAGAGATAGTGTGAGTGTGTGTATGTATATATTATATAGTGAAGAGTTGAAAAATACGGTACACGTGAAACATAGAATAATAACTTACTTTGGAATAAATAAATAAATGCTTTAGTTTTTTATTTAATACAAAAGTTTTCGTACAAGGTTTTTAGATATTAATAATAGCTCTAAATTTAACGTCACAGATGGAATTAGAAATGAAGAAAAAATAAAAGCTAAAACTTAAAAGAGACAAAAGATATATAAGCTTTATAGATTTTATTAATTTAATGTTGGCTGGAACATGTTATGAAATATTTTCCTTTTCCTTATCGCCCTATTGCACTGTCTAAAAACAATGTTTATGTGTATACATATATATGTATATACACACATACATACATGTCATGCTATTAAGATGGAGGAAAAATGTTATTTTCAATTAATAACTTTATGAAGATCGCAGAACTTTTACAAAACCTACAATATGCCAATAAGACTATTAGAGCAAAATGTTTGGTACCAAGTTATGTAGCTTATAATGGATATTTGTTCCAGTGGATCTTATAATGTGCAGTTCCTCTTTTAATTCTTGTACTTTGGACAGAACAACTAAACGTTTCGAAATATTAATTAGAAATAAGCTAAACAGATAACCGTCTCTTTCTTCGTTCTTTGCAAACGTCAAGGTATACAATGAAATCCGAGTATAAAAATTTTCCCATGATAATGAGAATTCTACGACGCAGCCTAAAGTCTGTTTCTTTTGACATTCTACGAGAACAGAAAAATTTTAAAACTTACCAATATTTCATTGTTGACATAGTAATATTTGAATTTTCCACTACTGTTCTGTAGCCAGTGGGCAGCCCAAGTATGCTGGTCGCTGGTCAATGAAGGATTAATGTCCAGTATGAGACGCATATCTCGTGCATGTAACTCCTCAACGAGCTCTTGGAAGTCCTCCATTCTACCCAGATGAGGATCCACACTAAGAAAGTCAATTATATGACTGTATTCTAGAGGATAGTCTAACGCACTGAAAATTGAATTAAGCCTGACAGACGTAACATTTAGGCTTTGGACGTAATCCAATCTTTGGATCAGACCTTTGAAATCTCCATAGCCATCATTGTCTGAATCTTGAAAAGAAGCGGGAAAAATTTCATATGACACAGTGCCCTGCCACCAACCTCTCCGTAATTCGTTGGTCCTGTTACCAGGAGTGACTAACCTGATAACTACACAAAAAATGCTGACGATGATAAACACGAGTATCACGAAACACCCCAAGCGGATAGCAGCCCAGTTCCAATGTAGGAGAGATCTGGACGAACATTTGGCCATCATCATCGGTTCGGCTCTTTCAGAGAAATTCTGGTTTCGTTTATCAACTCGATGAGCTTGACGAACAGTGTATGGTACGTTGTACGCAGTGCTTAACAGGCGGGTAAATAACCCAGGTTCATAGCTCTCCTCGCTATCCGTGGAAGGATATTTAGGTATTAGGCATGTAGAAGGGTCGTCATCAGTGTCCGGTATTTTTTGTTCATTTTCAATAATTATATGATTCAAATTTTCGCTTACGTCATTGTCAGAATTACCATTAGGAACTTGTGTCATGCAATCACTGGCCATTTTTGCTTCATCAGCACCTGAGAAGCTAGTATCTTCTAGATCAGAGGTGGAAGTTCCATTCACGTCGGAATGACCGAGGTCCACTAGGACCTGTGAACATAATTCTGATTTTAGTGACCGTTTTATGACTGGCCACACTGTAGAGATGCGGTGATCATCAAACGAACTAACATCATGATGTGTAGAAAGCTTCCGTGGTGATCGGTTCGTGTGTTCAGCGTCCATTTGCTTGATATAAATGAAAACAGAGAAAAAACTTAAGAATTGTGAAAACTTTCAGCAATTTCACAAGAATACATCTTTATTTTTTGCAGTTACAAAAACGAATACCTTGCGTATTTTTCATATCAAATCACTTTGATTTTGACTTATTTTGTGATAATTCATCTGAGACAGTTTAGAACGATTAAGTGTTTAAGTTGTATGATATTTTAAAATCTTGTACCTTATTTCTCTCCAAAAATGTGCAATTAAAGTTGTAAAAATACTAAATTCGCTTGTTTTAACTTAACACACCTCGTAAAGAATCGAAAAAGAACGTCCATGTAGTTTATCAGACAGAAACCTCTCTTTTGCCAATTTTACACATTTTGCAAGAACTCCAAGAAGAAAAATATTCATGTTTAACAAAGAATAATCTTCACCTGATTATTATATTTTCTCATTTCGCTTACTCTTATATTGTTGTTTTTTGCATAAAGTATATATTAGTTCAAAATGATTATTAACATGATTTTGCAGCATCAGAAACAATACGTTTATTAAAAACCACCTCTCAGAGGCTCAGTGGTAAGTTTGACGTCTTATAACACTAACATTAAGAGTACGATCCCTGCGATAGGCTCAGTACAAATAGCTCATTGTGCAATTTGGTGCTAAATGACAAACAAACATCTTAATCTTAAGGTTTAGGCAGAAGCAAAAGTTGAAATATTAGAAGCTTAGTTCTTTTATCTTTCACCACCTTAGTTGATACTTAATATTTGTCTTTCTGTTACATTTTTAGTTGTTTTTGCAAGAAAACGTTTTTATATTCACAAAGTAAAACTTCATTGTTTACCTGCTTAGTTTTGAAAGAATAGCATTAGTGCTCGTGTATTAACGTACTTTGGATTTACTTATATAGACGTGGATCGTCAAACGATTCCATACCTTGAAACAAACCTTTCGTCAACTAAGTAAAAGTTAAAGCAATTCAAAGGTACCAATCTCAATACCATGTGGATTTTCCCGGAATTTCTCTACATCGTACTTTGTTTTCCTTAAGGAAACCTCGACACTCAAAGTTTGAAAGTAAGTTAGAGCTGCCCACCAATTCATTAGTTGTTGAATTCTTAGAAGATTCGGCCCAGAAAACCCGAAAGGAAAGGCATGAAAATATGTTCTAATTCATTATTTTTTACCTACTCTTTGCTTTACGGAAGAAGAACAGCGTCTTGAGAACAGTTTTATGCTTAAACAAATTATACGACGCTTATGCATTTAATACGTCATTTATATTTAACGGATTTTATCTAAAACAGACACGAAAGAACCAAAATAAATTATAAACTTTTAACTCCAAAAAATGAGTTTATAATTTTATTTTGCTGGGAAAGACGTTAAATGTAAAATCATTTGTTTCATAGTGCGCGCGTGTGTGAGTAAAAGGTATAATTATTACTCAAACCTTGTTTGCTTTCATGAGAAAAAAAAAGATAATAATAACGTGCATATCTATCTGTATGATGATGACATTTCATAAGTTGATAAAGAACATATGTATTAACAGACATTTGGTTTCTGTGATTTTGCAACATTAAAACCATACTGAAATTCAGATATAATCTGTTGAAAACTAAACTTAAAATTTGTGTATTTGTTGTTAAGGGGGACGTGATTTACAAATATTAGTATGACAGATAGCTGACATGATTTATAAATGTTAATATGCTTTAACTAAAAATGATACGACTAAAGTCAGATAAAAAGGAGAAAAAGTAAAAATTGAACTGAAAAAAAAGAAGAATCGTGTGCATTATAAATCTTGGAAGGTGTTCGTATTATCATTCTTTAAACCAAGTATGCTTAATACAGATGAAAATTATTAATAATTTACCTATTATACAACCATGTAAAATTTATTCACGCAATTTTTTCTTAAATGTTCATGCACTATGTATGTGAATTACACTGCACAAAACATTTAAAGAATAAATTAAAGTTATAAACGCCTAGCAAAACCACCGTTATGAAATAATGTTAATTGTCCCCTTCAGCCAATTTTCATGCAAATAAAGCATCAAATGATTCATCACATGATCTGAATATTGTTTCAGCCTACGCTCACAAATGAATATCTGGAAAAGTTGGCTTTACATTTTTAAAACTAATGGCACTTCCCTTTAATATGTAGTATCGGCATTACGAGCAGCAAAGTGTTCTCAAGTATTTTCGACCAGAATTGTATAAAGTCTGTTCTGTTTCTAGGGTAACTTTAATATATGGAATCACTTGATGGGATGTGATGCGTCACCCAAGAACATTTCACACATGTTGAATTGGGTCGAAGTCCAGTGAGCATATAGATTACTCCATTCGGTCAAATCCCTGTTTTTGAAGGAACATGTCGATTAGTTTTATGCAATGTCGAACATTTTTTATTTTCCATTAGGCCAAAGTCAGGGCCAATTGCACCAGTATATGGCAGCACAAAGTCATATGATGTGCATCATTAATAGTACTATTCCTTAGAGTGTAGAAGTATAGCATATTTTATTTCTGCTCAAACCATACATACACTATTAATATATCCATTATGAACCTATATACAAATGAGGCTGGAGCTGTTTCCTGATTCTCTCCAAATGACTATATGCTGACACCTGAATGCAAAATGAATGAAGCACGATCCATCTATCAAAAGAACATTGTAAGACATGTCGTTGGCTCAATCGATGTGATCTTAGCATCATTGCAGCGAGCTATTTTGTATTTTGTTATCAGTGAAATGCACCTTATTGGGTGTATGGAATACAGACTAATCTTGTGATGTCTGTTTCTAATCGTTTGTTCGCTTACGCTACGTTCAATTACCGCTGTGAACGTCTGATTCAGTCTCGGGACAAGTATGCTGCTATTGCAGTAAGCCTTTAACAAGAACAAGTTATCCCAAGCAGACAATTACTAACTGTTGATTCTATGTTCGAGTAATTGTACCATTGGTTTGAAAGCATTTCCTCATTATGCTAACAACAAGATGAAACATTTGAAGCCAATTTACAGCACCATGTTGTGATTGATAAACTTCTATTCGTTTCATGGCCTACATATGAATGAAACATCAAGATGAATTCAATAAGGCCTAGGCATATTCATAAGAAATTGGAAACATTCTAATTCTGCGATACACTTCAAAATGACAATTGAAACACAATTTTGTGAGGCCATTACTAAAAGCGTAAGCTGAATAGACAATCATTTGTATTTCAGATCACATAATTCTGATTTATATGACAATGAAACGATGACCTAAATGGCATTGTCTTATAATAGTGGTCGTAACTATAATGTTATAAGTTCTTGTTATGCTTTTAATGTTTTGGGCTGCATAAATAGATTTTTCGAGAACCTTCTAGGATTATTGTATAACGGACTGAAACGCAAACAAACAAATAGCCGCTACAACCAGGGCTGAAACACAAAAAACGAATCTATTAAATTTTGACCACCCCACAAGTCAAAAATTAAACTTGTGAATAATTAGAATGCAAAATTTCCCAAAACACAGTTAATACATACGTGCTTGGCCAGGACTTGATTTCCAACGTTAATGAACAATACAATATATATATATATATATATATATATCAGGATTAATAATTATTCCAATAAATAAAGGAATCAGGAAAAATAACCAGACAAAGAAAAAATCTAATTCCAAAGTAACAATATTCCATATTTACACAACTACAAGATCATTAACAACATCAAGTAATAATTAGCAATAATAACTTTCAGGTATCACTCATGAAGCTGTTGAAGCTCATGACGGGGTTTTTATTCAGTAGTTAGATCACGAGATTACATCTCATGTACCCGTAAATTTACATAATCTTTCGTCACCGCTAGGGAAACTGGTGTTAGTATTATAATACATAGAAATTTACTTAAAATCATCCTAGGTAATCGTCCGAGGTAGTTGCGAGAAAATAAAAATGTCGTCTACAGAAGACATGAAGATTGTCCACCTACAAGACAAAGGACTTCTGCTGATGTCTCTACTTCTCATCCTTAAACGGATTCTGCTGATGACTTACCTATGTCTCCTGCTCGACCTACTTAAACGACATTACGGCCACGTCACAGAATTGATTATCGCCACTTAGATGGTCTTCGAACTCTTAATAAACTTCCGGTAAGCCGAACCAGAGTCGGAAGCTAGAGCAGATCAAACTGGAGATTCAAGAACATCAACTGTTTCTCCTTGTAAATTATCTGTACTTGAACTGTAACAGATTCATGATGTCAGTATAAAGAGGGAGTTAAAAGTTATGATACGTAAATTAATAATTTATACGAAGTGATTAATATCATCACTTCGTTTTTCTAAGAGGGAAGGAGTGTGAGGTAGCGAATTATATTTTTATTTCGTTATGGTTTTGTTTACCGTTCATTTATTATTTCTTCTATTATTTTGTTTACCTATTAATTTTAGGTATATTAAAATGCTAACTGACCTTCAAGGTGATCACGTTTATTTTAGATAAGTTTGTATGTATTATGAGACTGACACCAGTTTCCCCTCATGCTGACGTACAGATATCATTAATTTTGCGAAAATGTTTACAAATGTATGGTCACATGAGATGTAATCTCGCGGTCTAACTACTAAAAAAAACCCTCACATGAGCTTCAACAACTTAGTTCACGAGAGATAGCTGAAAGGTGTTATTGCTGGTTATTATTTGATGCTGTTAATTATTTTGTAGTTATGTAAATATGAAGTATTGTTATTTTGGAATTAGGTTTTTCTTCGTCTGGTTATTTTTCCTGATTCCTTTACTTATTGAAATAATTATAAATCCTGATATATGTGTTGTATTGTTCATTAACGTTAGCATCAAGTCCTGGACAGGCACGTATTTATTAACTGTGTTTTGGGAAGTTATATATTTTGCATTCTAATTGTTCGAAAATTTCATTTTTAACTTATGTGTTTGTCAAAGCTTAATAAATTTGTTTTCTGT